CCCCGTTCGTACGAAACGAACGGTCCTTGCACAAGGGCCATGCTAAATTTCTCTGTATCGTTTCGATTTCAACGGATATCCCACAGGACAAAAGAGTACTCGAGAGAAGAAGAAAAAACTAAATAAAACCTTAAAAAAAAAAGAAAAAAAACAAATCTAAAAGAAATCTAAAACAAAATCTAAAAAAGAAAAACACTTACCTTCAGACGAACGGTTGCCCGTTATTACGGGCGCTGTCAGAGGTGGTTGGGGCAAAACGCCCCGGTCACTTCCCACGGCGCCATGTGGCGCCTCACATCTTCGTTTTAGTTTTTTTTTTTCCTTTTTCTTTTTCCTACTGGTTATATCCCGTTGGCTTATGCCAACGGTCACATCTTCATGTGGCTGAAAAACCATGGTTTTTACTATATAGGCCCAAGTTCGAATCCCAAAGGATTCAACGATTTTTTTTTTTTTAACTTGTTTTTTTTTTTTTTGATTTTTGCGCAGCGCCATGCAGCTCTCGCGCGGCGGATTTCCGCCGCACGATCTCTAACAACCGTGTGGCCGAAATCGCCTGCGACACATTGTACTGCGATGGACTGCTCCTAACAAAAGGAGCTAGCCCACTCGCCGGTCATGAGGCTCTATCCCCGAATCAGCAGGGTGACAGTCAGATGGCAGTACCTACCGGGTTAGCTCCTTATCACGGGAGCTAAGCCCACAACTCTTCTATAAGAAGAGCTGCCTCCCTGTAGGCCCACCTGTCATAGCTGGGCAAACTCGGCCTCCCTCACCTCTAGCCGCGCCGCCTGTCAATTTCGCAGGCGACCCAATTCTGCGGCTTGGCTTGGTGGCCCGAGGCCGACCGCGAAACAATACCAGGCCCTCCGTACGGAGTAGACCTCGTGGCCCAACATCAAGCGCGGACACCCTTTTTCTACCTATCTAGGCTCTGAATCGCGCGGTTGCTAAGCCGTGCGAAATTATTTTAGATAGGGTTTAACTTTAGCGTCCCATGTCTGCATATTCCGGCGGCTTCGACAAAAGCGAAGCATTGCTATTCACATCCGTTACTCCGGACGCTACACGCGTCTGGACAAAAGTCTGAAAAATTTTAGTCTCTCAGGCATAGGTTAGGTCTGAATAAACTTTGGCAAACGCCAGTCTCATCAAGTCCTTCAATTCAATAAGAAAAAGTCGAACATCATCCGACGTTCAAAAACCCCGGCAAATACCCTTGTCAAGGTTTTTGCCCCGACACCGTGACTGCGCATTGGGCGCGGTATTACCAGAACCAAGAGCTCATCATCCCTGATAAAATTACTCTACTTCTCATGCAAGCATGGCAATTGGGAACGAGCGGGCTTCTTGCTGGGCTTCTTTTTGGAGAGGTGGAACAAGGAGGAAGAGTGACCATCGCTAACAAGATATTCGTATTCCTGGCACAGATTGTCGACCACATGCACCTCAACATCATCTCTTTCAATGCAAGCAATCCCAACCAGACGGAGTCTGTGACCTTGGAGCAAACGCTAACACCTACGGTTATCTGGAGGGGTTGCACGGAAGAACCAGGAAAGTTCCTGAACGCGCACGATCCAGCCACCTGGAACTTCCTGGACCTCGACGAGCTTTATCCTAATAGTTCAGAATTGGTGGATTTCTAAACGACTAATCGCAACAACGGAGAGGTGCCATCAGATGACGACCCCAATCCAATAGTGCTTCCCGGCCAGGACGAAGGCGACAAAGAAGAGAAGCAGAAGCCGAGTCCACGACCGAACAAGAGGAAGGCAAGCCATCGACGGACCAGCACAGAGAGCCTCCCAGCTCCAACATCAAGTGACACCTCCAACGGGTTCATGATTAGCCAGAACAACGGATTCCGCAGGGAATCCCGAGCCTCCTGAGGAAGCAACTAGCCGCCACGATGGCACAGAATCCTCCCGCCGTCGCCGTCGGTCTCGCTCACCATACCGCCCCCTCCGCAGTTCGGCCCCGTCCTCCTCCCCGCTTGAGCGCTCCGTCCACATCTTGTCTTCGGCCGTCCTCTTGATTACCTTTCCTTTTCTCCACTCCCCTACGTCGATTTTCCCCTTGACTACCACATCTTCACCAACCAGCTTTTCTATTGTCACTGATCAGTCCGTCTGTTGGGCGAAGTTCATTCCCATTCCGCCCCTTCTTTTCGCCTCAATATTCTCCTCTTTAGTGTCGCGTGGAGGCTATACAACCACATGGACCTTTCCCGCTGTGGAAGATTACAAGTCCTTGCCCGACAATACCCTATGCACAATCCCCACTCTATACCCTGACTACCTTGTCTCCCTCCCCCAACCCAATCACCGATTCCCTCGTGCTCGTCGGATGGTCCATTTCGTCGATCTCGGTCATGAACCAAGCGATCACTTCCCTCCGCTCCCTTCTCATTGGCCCCGACCACCGCCTGCCCCCTTTCTCGTTGATTACGATCGGTCATTGAATCAGTAAACCGGCCATTGCATCAGACCGATCCAGACCTTGATGATGTCACCTTGAAGACAACCAGACACCCAAGGTCCTGATCCTCCGTGTGCATGCGGAAGATTGTTGCCAAGACATGATGACAGTGGTCTCGCAAGGATATTGCAATTGACGTTGGCGTCAACATATCAGACATCAACCCCAACTCGAATGGTTTTCTGTGCCGATTGACGTCACTTCAACCTAATGCCATGTGTTTTCCTCTTGTTGAAACGCTGGGCCATAACCATCTTCCATTTTTCTCTTCCTTCCCTCTCTCCTCTCCCCTCTTCCATTTTTCCAGTATGATCCCTTATGTAAACTAGCCTTTACCGGCACACCCACATGCAATCAGGAGAGCACATAATTTTGGAACCCCCTGAATGTCACATATGTGACGTGCCAACTTTTGTGCTCGAACTACCTTCTGAAGCCCTGTGTTCTGCTACGCTGTTCTTTTCGGCCTTTAACGGGCTTTAGGGGTACCATCTTTTTGGCAGGCAGGTAATGCATGGAATCAGTGGCTGCCGAGGCCTCCCCACTTCAGGGTATTTTGATTTCTCAAAATTTTCAAAATTTTTCTTTGTTTTTCTTCAATGTCTATGAATTTACGTAGGAATTACGTGCGCCTTAGCGAGCGCATTAGGAATTGTTTTTGACAGTTGGGAATTTCCAGAACTCGTGGACCTACTTCCCGGTGACGGGTCCTTTTTGTGCATGAGCGTCCCCAAAATCGTCCCGGATAACCCCAGGATTTTTTTTTTGGAATAGAAATGGGTGTGGAATTCACACGGCAGAATTCACGCGCGGATATTGCATTTGAATTTTTCAATCTTGAATTAGTTCTAGGAAATGGTTTTGTTCGTAATAGGCCTCACACGTAACTGTTTCGGTCCCATTTGGCCGAGTACGCAAAGCCTGCCAACAAGCTATTCAGTGCTCTGCTCGGCACAGCCTTGGCCAGGTTGGCCAGGGCACACACACACACACACACACACACACACACACACACACACACACACACACACACACACACACACACACACACACACACAGACAGAGACAGTGACAGAGAGACAAATCATAGAGGTAAAACTGTTTCATTGCTGAATTGGCTCAACTCAAGTGTGCTTCTTTGTCTGCAATAGAGGCAAGGTTGCTTTGATTTTGGATCTAGTCATCTGGGTGGAATAGGGGCTGTTGACATGTTGTGGTGCAAATCTACAACACAGAAGAAGGGGGGGGGTGAGAGAGAGAGAGAGAGAGAGAGAGAGAGAGAGAGAGAAGGGGGAAGGTGGTTGGCTATGGTGGACGGGTGATGGAGGTGGAGGAGGAAGAAGGTGGAAGGGGGTTGGGTATGGTGGATGAGCGGGGGTGGCAGGGTTGGGGCAGGGGTGGGGTGGATGGGTGGGGGTGGATGGGTGGGGGAGGTCACGGATTCCTGCGCCGGGGCTGCGGGGGTCGAACCCCCACCCCAGCTTGGCTCGCAGGTGCTGTCACCATGTCCTTCTTTCTGGAAGAGATGATTCCCCATCCGCATCACCTGCGGTGGGACGGAGGGAGAGAGAGAGAGAGAGAGAGGTAAGAGAGTGAGAGAGAGGTGTGAGAGAGAGAAAGGTGGAGCTGCTCATCCATCTCCATCGCGAAGAGACCACCCATTAAGAACTTCGAAGTTGGCAATCAGTCCTCTCTCTCTCTCTCTCTCTCTCTCTCTCTCTCTCTCTCTCTCTCTCTCTCTCTCTCTCTCTCTCTCTCTCTNAAAAATCGTTCTCAGCCAGAAGTTAAAAATTTGGCCCAGCCTTCTTTGGGACTGGGGCAGTCAGACAGGAAACAGACAAACTTCTATCAGCCAGCTAAGCGGGATGCAACAGCAGCACGGAGAGGGTCAAGGGGACCCAGTGGCACTCCGAGGAAAGCAACAAGTGCTGTTTCCCCWGGGTCRGAGAGCGATGGAGGGGATAGAAAGAATAGCAGGCAACCCGGCACAAGTTTCTCTAGCCATCATAGCTGGGGCTCAAACTCCCATCCTCCTGTACGTTCTCCTGGATCCGACTCTGAACCGGTGGAACGAGGACCTCAGACAATCGACCGTGCTCACCGCGGATCCAAGCAGATCGAACAGACGACTGCAGCCACCATCCATCTTCCCCCCCAAAAGGAAAGCCAAGCCAGCGGTGTTTTCAACCTTCCAGATCTGCACACGGCAAGCTTCCAGGTTGTCATGGCTAGCCTTGTCAGTCAATTCCTGGGGCGATTACAAAGTACTCGGGGTTCCGTCATCCAAGTCGTGGAGATAGAGGACAAACAACCAGCGCAGAAGAAACGGGAGATAGGGGGAAAGAAGAAGGCAAAACAAGCATGGGGAGAGATGAACGAGGCCTTTCTGGAAGACCTTGAGGAGGAAGAGGAGGCGGAGAACGGGCAAGAGGATGATGGCGATGAGGAGGGGGATGGGGAGAATGAAGAGGAGAAGAGAGACGAGGATGCAGAACAGGAGGAGGGAGAGGGGAACCAGGAGTCCGAGGGAGGGGCCATGAAGAACAAGATATGGTCTGTGCAATACAATATCCCGGAAATCTCCCTCGAAGCATGGACTGCAGAGTTTGTTGGTGTTTTACTCCATGTTTGGTCATGGAGATCCTATGCTCACAACCCAAGGATGGTTGATGCTGTGAGGAAGCTATACAAATGCAGCCTGGTCAATCATCAACAGATGCGAGTCCTTTCCAAGTAAGTTCCAAGAAAAGGAAGAGAAACAAAAGCTCACTCTCCTTCCCCCTCTCTCGGGTGTCTCTTTCTTTTCTTCCTTTTCTCTCCCAGGAGGTGTCTCCTTTTTTTCTTCCTTTTCTCTCCCAGGAGTTTCTGATTGATGTACACTGGCAAGCAGTTCTGGACAGAAGTAAGCCAGAATGATTCGTTGGCTCATCTAATGCATTGAAAAGTGGTCAGTCAGCACTAGCTTTGATTCCTGCGGATCACTTATTGCTCCCAACCTTAAACTCGAACGACGAATTTCAGGCCACGGTGCACACTTTTGCCATTTTCCCTTCTGAGACCACCAGCCCTTTCCCCGGCCAAATGTCTCCGATGCAACATGTCACATCCGTCGGGATGTATTGTCCTCCCAGGCTGTACGCTATTCATCCAGGCGAAATGGCCCAAATGGGGCCTTGCACACGCCGGTTTCGCCTGGATGAATTTTCTGCCATGCCGTGCTGGAGGCCGGTTTCTGAAGAAGCTGCGCGTACATGGCCGCATCTACGAAATTTGCATGTAAAAAGTATCGGTGGTTTAAATCAACAAAGGCTCACTGCTCAGAACATTTTGCTCTTAAACCACCAGTACTTGGCCCAGCTATGAAGTCTGAGCCTGGGCCGACTGGTATGCCGAGCCATGCCGAGGCTCGAACTACGGGTTCTTCACTTCCCAGGCCTAGTGCGAGAAAAAAACGGGACAAAAAAATAGAAAAGAAAAAAGAAAAAAAATAGAAAAAGCAAAAGGAAAAAAAAATAGAAAAAGCAAAAGAAAAAAAATAAAGCTTTCATTTCTGTTGGCGCCACAGAGAGAG